CGGCCCCCCCCCCCCCGCCCCCGGGACGGGATGCGGTAGGCAAGGACCTCAGCATAGCTGGGGAGCCTCAGACTCCACGTGGGTCTGAAGTCTGGGATAGAGGCAGGAGTGCATTTTAGTTTGGGATTCATGAGACTCTCATAAGCCCTAATAAACCGCTTGCACTTTTCTTCCCTCCTTACCTGCCCACGTCTGCAGAGCAGTGGGGACCCCGCAGGCAGAGAAGAAATGATGCTGACTCTGTAGGGAATCTGGGCAGCCGGAGAGAGACTGGGGAGGGCGACGTGGGCCACGGCCAGGAGAGGACACAGGTTCAGAAGGAAGCAACCAGAATGGGCAGGTTGGGGGAGAGTATCCAAGGAAGTAAGGCCAGGTCAGGAACACTGAGGACCGTTTCACACAGATGCGTCACGCTTCCTAAGGCCAAGTACCACCTCCCTTGTCTCCTCCGCACCAACTCTGCAGCCCCTGACCTTGGGACCATCAGAGGAGGAGGCTGGGTCCAACCTGGCCAGTGATGCCAGTGACCAACAGAAACTGGGAACAAGGGAGAGTTTGGGGAGGAAGCTGCTGAGTTCCACTTGACAGCGGACATTTAAGGCAGGCTGACCACATCCCCGGGACACTCGGAGGTTATCACGGGCCCTGCCCGGCCCTGTAATCTCTCCCGTGTGGGAACTCCTGGGACTGCTGGAGAGCAGGGAGCGGACGCCCTGGCAGGGAGGAAACAGGAGGCTCTGAGTGCCCCACACAGCGGGGAGGGGCCAGCACACAGGCTCCACACCTTTACTCCGGGGGGAGGTGCGGGAAGAGGAAAGCCACGAGAGGTGGGAGTGGGCAGCTGCAGCACATTTGGGAAACTAGCTGCAGAAGACGAGGAGGGGCCTGACGCACATGGGCCCCCCCACCCCAGGCCCGGCCTGCTCGCGGCTCACCTGGAGGTGGTGACCCAGCACCACGTCTGCCCCCTGTGGCTTGACCTTGCTCCTGCCCTTCCCCTCCTGAGATCCGCCCCCCGACACCCGTCCATGACCGGAGTCCCACCCGCCCTGGATGTGGCCCCATTTCAGCAGGTCAGCACTTTCCTCAGAGGAATGAGATGCCCAGAAAACACACAGCTGTTTCATAATGTTCCCCAAACGTGTCACCCCCGTCCCTCCAACAGAGAGAAACGCTTCTCTAGAAGAGTGTCCACGTGGCAAATCACAACAGGAAGGGGGCAGCTTCCCACCACCCACAGAACACAGAGCCGTGGCCTCTCAGCGGGAAGCACTGGGGGTCACGGCCAGTCCCCACCCGCTGCCCAGACAGCCCGCAGAGAACAAGGCCAACGGTGCCTTGTGCTGGACACCTGGCTGTGCCTCCTGCGTGTATTTATTTATAGGAGCAGAATACCAAGGTCTACAAGGGAAAAGACATTGGTTATATGTTCTGTAACGGCCTTTACTGAAAGGAGCAGAATGACGGGGAAGTGGGATGTTCCTCAAAACCCCGGGGCGTTTGGCCCCCTGATGACATGCTCATCCCTAGAGCATCAAAGCTCCAATCATTTTCCAGTCATGGTGGGAGATGGTGGGAAGGACCGGCAGACAGATTAGAAAGCAGGAGAGAGTGACACTGTGGACAGGGCCAGGGAAGAAGGGATGAAGCCCCTGGATCGGGGAGGCTGGGCAGGTGGCTGCGGTGAGAAGCTGAAACGTGCGCACAGCCCTGGAGGACGGGGCAGGGCTCGCCCCGGTTCTCACAACCCGTGGCTGCAGGGCCACCCGGCGGGCGCCCTGCCTCTGTGTACAAGCCCCGTCAGAGCCGCCTCAGGTGGGCTTACAACCGTGTAATTGAGGAAAGCACTGAAAATCGAAAGAAGAGAAAAACAACACAAAACAAAACCGGGGGGCTTCCCTGGTGGCTCAGTGGTTAAGAATCCGCCTGTCAATGCAGGGGTAACGGGTTTGATCCCTGGTCCAGGAAGATCCCCCATGCTGCGGAGCAACTAAGCCCGTGTGCCACAACTAGAGCCCACGTGGCTTCCCTGGTGGCTCAGTGGTTAAGAATCCGCCTGTCAATGCAGGGGTAACGGGTTTGATCCCTGGTCCAGGAAGATCCCACATGCTGCGGAGCAACTAAGCCCGTGTGCCACAACTACTGAGCCCACGTGCCACAGGTACTGAAGCCTGTGTGCCTAGAGCCCGTGCTCTGCAACATGAGAAGCCACTGCAATGAGAATCCTGCGTACCACAATGAAGAGTAGCCCCTGATCGCCACAACTACAGAAAGCCCGAGAGCAGCAACAAAGACCCAATGCAGCCAAAAATTAAACAAATAAAAAAACTAAAACAAACAAACAAACGAAAAAAACAGAACTGGTGTGGAAAAGCGCCAGTCCTGAAACAGCTTCTCCCGTCTTTGGAGGAAGTGAGGACACACCCCACAGATGCACACGTGTTCCAGCATGGAGAGGGGGGCAGTGACAGAGGCGCAGCCTTTCTTGGGCACATCCACGTCCACGGTCACACGATCACACTCCAAAACCCTGAGTCGGGAAAGGCAAGTGGGCTTCTTCCCATCTCAAGGAAGACAAGTGTGAGACAAAGCAGCCAATGACCCGAGCTGCAGGGCGATGGGGCTGCTGGCAGGCTGACTCCTCCCCTGCATCAGGGCTGTGGCATGGCTCCAGCAGGAGGAGGTGGGGCAGCTGACTTCAGCCCCAGGGGCGGGGGCAGGGCCTGGCTCCAGGCTGCAAAACCCCACCTGAATAACAGGCAGGAGCAGCCACAGGACTTCTAGGATGGTTCACTGGAATCTACATAAAACGTCCATTAGCTCCAAGCCTGGCACATAAAGCCTCCCTCACGGTACCCCTGGTGCCCAGATCATCATGTACCTGCTCCCAACCAACGACCTGCCCGGGGTCCAGGAGCAGACCAGGGGCTGCTGCGGGGCAGACTCCTCAAACGCCTGCCCCAGGTGGGAGGGAGGGACCCGCTACCACTTCAGTCTCCTTCCCAACACTCATCAAACGCAGCCGTGACCAGCCAGGGCGCATCAGGTGCTGCCCGCAGCAGCCGAGCCCGAGGGTCCAGCACGGCTTCGAATGAGCGTGTCCACCATCACCTTCCGACTGGAGCCCGCGGTCCACACATCGAGTGGGCCTCCCTCGAAAACCCTCCCTCCACCTCCTGACCAAAGCCACCACTTCCGTTTGTTCTGAAATATTACCTCTGTCCCACTGGCCCTGCTCCAAACCAGGACTCTCACAAGTCCTAGGAGCACAGAGCACTACTGTCTGAGACAGAAGACAAGCTGAGGGCTGCCTCGGCTGGTGGCATCCTGCCTGCTCCGCCAGCCTCCAAGGCCTGGCTAACACCTCACACCTGCCCTGCGCTTTTGATTCTCCAATGCTTCCACCCCCGACACCCACTTTATCTTGTCAACACCCTATGCTGTAAGGACAGCACGCGGTATTAACTTGACATCTGTGATACTGTGATTTATAATAAATATGTATTTGGTCTTCCATCCCTGGCACAGCTCCTAAAACCCTTGGAATTTCCTAAGTGATGAGAACAACCACACCTGAGTTTATGTTGATCTGGTGACTGTTGGAACCACACCTCAGGATGGGCTGGTTGCCAGGGAAACCAAATTTCAGCCCCACCCCCTGACCTCCAGGGATGTTGAGTTCAATCCCTGATGCCCAATCATTTGATCAGTCATGGCTGTAATGAAGCCTCCATAAAACCCAAAAGGACGGGGTTATGAGAGCTTCCGAGTTGAACATGTGGAGACTGAGGGAGAATGAGGCCTGAAGGGGGCATGGGCGCTCCGAGCCCCTTCCCACAAGCCCTTCCCACAAACCTCTTATCCTGAGTCATATCCTTTTGTAATAAACCGGTGATCCAGTAAGTAAATGGGTTTCCCTGGGTTCTGCTCTAGCAAATTAATTGAACCTGGGGAGGTCGTGGGAGCCTCTGATCTATAACAGGTGGGGCAGAAGCACAGGTGACAACCTGGATTGAGATGGCTGATCGAAGAGGGTGCAATCTTAGGGGACTGAGCCCCTTCCCCTGTGGGGTCTCACGCCGTGTCCAGGTAGACGGTGTCAGAACAGAGTTGAATTGTAGGACACCCAGCTGGGGTTGCAAAACAGCCTGGTGTGGGAAAAACCACATATATCTAGTGACCAGAAGTGCCAGTATATTCAGAGGATTGTGTGTATTGCAGAGGAAAACAAGAGTCTTCCCCTTACAACACCATTTTACAAATAAGGAAGCAAAAGAAGAAAACACCCAAACGTCAGTTCCAGTCTACACAGCTCGGCAGAGACAGATCTGCTGCGTCGTTTGGTGAGAACATCATACCCCAGAGGTCACGGAATCACAGGAAGAGACGTAACAGAGACCGGGAAGGCCTCTTACCTGGCTCCAAAGACCCACTGTCTTCATCTGAGGAGCCGACACCAGCCTGTGATGACAAGACGGCCACGAAACCGTCCTTAAATTCCTCAAAGTTAACCTGTGGATTTGAGAAGAGAGGTCAACGCTGCTTTCTACAGGTCACACACGTAACAACCTGGCCTTTTGGTCTTTTTCAGATGGAAGATCTTATGTTGCCTTCAGCACTGAGGACATTCATTTTTTCAAATATTTACTTAAGTTTTAAAAGAATTGAAGATGGAATAAGTCAGGTAAAAGTGAACCATAACCCTATCACAAAAAAACGCTATTAACAACTCCATAAAAGTAAATCAGATGACAAAATTAGAAAGCAGTGTAGAAAAGAGGTGTCTGATGACCACAAACATTAACACATAAAGAAAAAGGAAAATCCGGGCTTCCCTGGTGGTGCAGTGGTTGACAGTCTGCCTGCCGATGCAGGGGACACGGGTTCATGCCCCGGTCCGCGAGGATCCCACATGCCGCGGAGCGGCTGGGCCCGTGAGCCATGGCCACTGAGCCTGCGCGTCTGGAGCCTGTGCTCCGCAACGGGAGAGGCCACGGCAGTGAGAGGCCAGCGGACCGCAAAAAAAAAAAAAAAAAAAAAAAAAAAAATCTACCCTCCTGCTGGTGGATATTCCCATTGTTTCCAGGGTTTAGTTATTTTTAAAAAACCAACAAAAAACCCCAGCTTTGAACAGTTACACGTGTCCTTAGGCATTTCTTTGGAGTATACATACGCCTAACAATGGGATTGCTGGGTCACAGAATATACATTTAAATCTTCTTGGTAAATTGAACCTTTTGTTACTATAAAATGCTGACCCTCTTTAGTTCAGTAATGCTTTTACCATAAAGACTAGCTTTCTTATGGAGTATTTACGTGTTATATGTTTTTACCAAACTTTGTTTTTTAACCAAACTTTTAATAATGTCAATTTTTTATATCCTTATGTTTTAGACATGTCTCTTATGAACAGTATATAGTTGGACATTTTTTCCCCAATCTGAAAATCTTTATCTTTTAACTGAAACATTTTACATTTAATGTCCTTACTGATATATTGGGTTGGCCAAAAAGTTCGCTTGGGTTTTTCCATAATATTTAGATTTAAATCTACTATTTTCTTTGTGCTTTCAATTTGACCTGCCTGCTTTTTCTCCTTTCTTTCCTCTCTTTGGATTTATTGATTTTCTTTTAGGACTTCATCTTTCCCCTTATTAATTCAGAAGTTATACAGTCTATTTCCATTCTCTTATTGATTTTTTTTGTTTGTTTGTTTTCTGGTACACGGGCCTCTCACTGTTGTGGCCTCTCCCGTTGCGGAGCACAGGCTCCGGATGCGCAGGCTCAGCGGCCATGGCTCACGGGCCCAGCCGCTCCGCGGCATGTGGGATCTTCCCAGACCGGGGCACGAACCCGTGTCCCCTGCATTGGCAGGCGGACTCTCAACCACTGCGCCACCAGGGAAGCCCCATTCTCTTATTGTTTATCCTAAAAATGACAGTACACATCCTTAGCTTGAAAGTTTACTATCAATCAATGCTTTTTGTTTTAGCAAAAACATAATTTATTAAAAGACTAGTGGAAATGATCCAGATGTCCAAAAAGAGAATGGGTAAATAAACTGTGATTCAGTCAGACAACAAAAGATGACAATAGGGGGAAAAAAACCCAAACCACTGACAGAGACAATATATCTACATTGTGTGAATATAGCTCACAGACATAATACAGAGTAAAAGAACCAGAGAGTATACACTGAGCATATGCTGTGTATTTTCGCTTGTATAAAGTTCAGAAATAGGCAAACAAATCTATGCTGTTGGCATCAGGACAGTGGTAACTGTTGGAGGCAGAGGGACCACAAGGGCACCTGAGGAGGGATGCAGGATGCTGGCAGCCCAGGTGTGTTCAGGTTGGATGTTCACTGAGCTGCACTCTTCAGCTCATTTCTCTACCTGTGCTTCTACTGAAGTCCCACAGAAAGAAATCAACACAAGAGCTTACTGTCACCAGTAAGTGCAGAAAAAGCAGGCCTGGGCTGTAGGTCCAAGCATGCTTCCCACACCTGGCACAGAATTTGAATGAGCACATTCTGTTGCTGCCGATGGGCACTAAACGCAGCTGTTGGCTTGGGGGCACCTCTGCCTCAGTCACACACGTATCAGATCTGACACTGGATTACTTGTTTATTTTCTGTCTCCCCAACTAGCATGTGATCTCACAGTGACACACTGTAAATACTCAACAAATATCTAATGGATGTGTTTGCCTCTATACCCTCTCAAAACTGAGCAGAATTCACCTTCTCACAGGTGCATTCTTTCACCTTTGTTCTTAAAGAGTATTCTATTTTTTTTTTTGCCACTCCTCGCGGCATGCGAAATCTTAGTTCCCCGACCAGGGATTGAACCCTTGCCCCGTGCAGTGGAAGCTCAGAGTCATAACCACTGGACCACCCGGGAAGTCCCCTTAAAGGGTATTCTTGCTGAGTATGGGATTCAGGTTGGCACCAGTCCTCTTTTAGTACATTGGAGACACCTTTCCATTGGCTTCTGGCTTCTACTGTCACATCTGAGAAGGCAATTGTCAATATAACTATGGCTGATTTTCAGGATATGTCTTTTTTCCTCTGGCTGCGTTTTAAAAAATTATTAAGTGTTTCATTTTGAGATAATTATAGATTCACATGCAGTTGCAGGGAAAAAATACAGAGAGATCATGTGTATCCATCTCTGGCTGCTTTTAAGATGTCTTTGTTTCCCTTCAGTTTCACAATAATATGGCCAGATGTGGATTTCTTTTTATTTATGCTACTAAGAATTCCATGGGTTTTTGGAATCTTAAATCTGTTTTGGAAACTTTTTAGCTATTATCTGTTCACGAAATCCCTCCTCATTCACTCCTTTCCTCCTGGGATTCCAACTAAAGGGATGTTCCCCGGTCTTCACCTTCACTTTATAACATCATACTGCATCCTGGATGAGTGCTCTTTTCAGCTGTGTCTAATCTGCTGTTAAACTCTTAAAAGTTGTATTTGGTTCTTTGTTCAGATATGTTATGTCACTTTTAGAGTTACCTCTTTCCTGTGGATATTTTCAAGCTTGTTTTTTTTTTAATTAAAAATTTTTGTTTTTAATTTTTGGCTGCATTGGGCCTTTGCTGCTGCACGCGGGCTTTCTCTAGTTGCGATGAGTGGGGGCTAGTCTTTGTGGCGGAGCACGGGTTTCTCATGGCAGTCTTGTTGCAGAGCATGGGCTCTAGGTCTGCGGGCTCAGTAGTTGCAGCACGCGGACTCAGTAGTTGTGGCTTGTGGGCTCTGGGGAGCTTGGGCTTCAGTAGTTGTGGTGCACGGGCTTAGTTGCTCTGGGGCATGTGGGATCTTCCTGGACCAGGGATCGAACCCATGACCCCTGCATTGGCAGGCGGATTCTTAACCACTGCACCATCAGGGAAGTTTTTTTTAAATCTTTCCTAACATAGTAACCATAATTGGCTTATACATTTTTTTGTTTTGTTTTGTTTTGTTTTGTTTTGTTTTGTTTTGATTTTGCGGTACGCGGGCCTCTCACTGTTGTGGCCTCTCCCGCTGCGGAGCACAGGCTCCGGATGCGCAGGCTCAGCAGCCATGGCTCATGGGCCCAGCCGCTCCGCGGCATGTGGGATCTTCCCGGACCGGGGCACGAACCCGTGTCCCCTGCATTGGCAGGAGGACTCTCAACCACTGCGCCACCAGGGAAGCCCGGCTTATACTTTTTACCCAGTAATTCCAATACTTCACATCTTTGTGCTCTGCTTCTGTGGCCTGTTGTTTCTCTGGCTCTCACTCATCTTTATTTTGTGCCTAGTTATCCTTGACTGTATGCTGGTTATTGTATATGACTATTACTTAGGAAGAATTACAGACCCAGGATGAGGGAACTTTCTCAAGAGAGGACTTCTGTTTGCTTTTGCCACGTGCCTGAGGGCACCGCCTGTGCAGGACCACCTGATCTAACTGCAAGGCCTGAGGTCACCTAGACCCCTGAGCGCACGCAAGCCCAGACAGCAAAGAGCACAACGGCTGATTCACTTACCCTATATCTTTACCCTACAGGTGCACCCTCAGGATCCTCCCTTAAACTGGGGGCTGGTTCATCAGTTTCTCCTTGGGTGAGTCTGTGTTTAGACATGCATTTCCCTGGCCCTTTAAAACCCCCAAATGACATATCACTTTCACAGTCGCTATTTAAGACCAGAAAATATTCTCAGGGCAAATGGGGTTTTGTGTGCTGAGCTGAACTTCTCTCGATACGTGACTTAGCATAGATTTTTAGGTTGTAATTCCCCCTGACTTGTTTGCTCTTTACCATTTTCAAGATCTTTTGTTTTTTCTATTTTGTTCAGCCTTTTTAGTAGCACTAACTGGAAGGTAGGCCTGAGTTTGCTAACCTGCCACTAGGACAATGTCTGAAGTCTCTTCCCTCCTTTGTAGGGATGAGGCATAAATTTCATCATTTGGATCTACAAGAATGTATTGAACTAATCTCATATTCAAAAGGCTGTTTCCAGTCTTTTGCCATGTGAATCAATACTAGAATGAATAACCTTGCATACAGTTCATTTCACAAAGAGAGACGTTGTATTGCTTTCATTTTTACATTCCTAGCTTCTGGATTTGCCTCGCACATAATAAGAGCTCAAAGGTACTTGCTGACTCCATGGGAGCAGAATGAAATGGCCATTTTGCTTGATCCAATCTCAGATTTCTTTTGCATCTTTGATAATATTGATACTTATCAGCTGAATTTCTTCTGATCCATCAAACAGGAGGCAATCTGATTGCCGAGTGTGCTGCTGTTTTATCTGATACCATTTTGACTGTGCTTGTGTTTGCTTCTGTGCCCTCTCCCTTCACAGCTCATAAAAGAAGGAAGGGCCAGCCCATGGCATCAGGTGTTTCACCCAACAGGATACACCATCATCCCTGCTTGATCACGGACTCTCCTCACAAATGAAGAGGCTGGACCCTGTGATCAAGAATCACTCTCAACCTTAAAATTATTTTCAGTAACACTATGTTATCAATTATTTTTTGAGAGGAAAATTCTCTTTCTATCCAAATTTAAAATACTCAAGATAAGATCCTCACCACTGGTAAATAAACATGAGAAATATGGAAATTTCCCAAGTCACAGGACTCTTAGGCCACGTCAACTTTCTCGCTTGAAACTAGACCTGATAATGTTTCTTTAACGGGAAAAAGGGATTAAAAACAAGCATATTGGGACTTCCCTGGTGGTCCAGTGGTGAAGACTCTGTGCTCCCAATGCAGGGGGCCTGGGTTTGATCCCTAGTCAGGGAACTAGATCCCGCATACCGCAACTAAGACCCGATACAGCCAAATTAATTAATTAATTTTAAAAAAAAACCACTCATAGCACTAAAAATTACCTTATTAATTCAGATATTATAATATTGTTTCTTCATTCTTATAACTGGATTACTGTATCAATGACTAACATTTCTGTGGTGTCATATATGTTAGTTCCTGCAAGGAAACTGAATATGTGCTATTTGAATTGAAAAGCCAATCCATTCTCCTGGACAAAGGATTTATCTTGTTTTTCTTCAAAACTTCCTGAAATCTCCACCATTTGGTTTCTGTCACAGAAAATGGTGACAACTACCTAGATACTTCTGGCTTGACACTGGTGTCCCTAAAACCTCTACGGAATGTTCCACCTAAACACTGGCTGTGCACGCTCCCGCCCCCCCGGCATGGATGAAGCAGGGGAACGGTAACAGCCCTTTTCCCTTTGCAGCTACTCCAACACTGACCTTCCTCCAAGCATAACTCAGGGTTTCGAGGTCACGCTCCCCTTCTCACAGACAAAGCACAAAGTAGAGAAAGGCTGGGAATGATACATCCTACAATGAATCTGGGCCCCAAAGTGATTCTTTTGGTTTTGAATTTTCCAAACTGTCAAAAATCGTCAAAGGGGGCTTCCCTGGTGGTGCAGTGGTTGAGGGTCTGCAGGGGACACGGGTTCGTGCCCTGGTCCGGGAGGATCCCACGTGCCGCGGAGCGGCTGGGCCTGTGAGCCATGGCCTCTGAGCCTGCGCGTCCAGAGCCTGTGCTCCGCAACGGGAGAGGCCACAACAGTGAGAGGTCCGTGTACCGCAAAAAAAAAAAAAAATCATCAAGGAAACCATCTGTTCATGCTGTTTTTTGTTTTGTTTTGTTTTGTTTTGTTTTTGCCACACACGGCATGCAGAATCTTAGTTCCCTGACCAGGGATTGAACCTGTGTTCCCTGTGGTGGAAGCACAGAGTCCTTACCACTAGACCGCCAGGGAAGTCCCTGTTTGGGCTGTTTTAACCAGAGTGTTGATTTTCACAAATGTGCCTTTTGCTTATCTAGCCTCCAAATACAATTCCAGGTGATATCAAGAGGGGCTAAGACATTTTCTATCAAAAACACACCTGATTCTTAAGTCCATAAAGAAAAAGCAGGAACAGAGTAAAGAGATAGAAAAGAGTGCAGTGGGTTTGTGAGGCTGAGTCCTCCACACAGCGGGTGCAGCACTGCTGACAGCACTGGCCACACGGCCTCGGGGGAAGTAACAGGAGGTCAGATCTGCCTGGACCCTCCCCCAGGGCCAGCAGGGAGGGGTTTTTGGTTGTTCTTCATTTGTTTTTGCCCAAAAGCCAACTCAGAATATTTGCAGCTCGATTTTTTTCTCATTCAGAATGAAAAGAGTTTTACTGAGTTCTGTGGAAAAAATGCCCATCCTTCGAAGGTAAGATTATAGCCACTGGGTTTTTTTCTTTTTTGGGCTGCACCATGTGGCCTGCGGTATCTTAGTTCCCTGACCGGGGATCAAACACAGGCCCCTGGCAGTGAAACCCTGGAGTCCTAACTGCTGGACCGCCAGGGAATTCCAGGCACTGTTTTCAAAACGAACGTGTTAACATCTGGACACATTTAAGAAGCAGGAACACTAAGAAGCTTCTTAATGTTTCAATCAGGAAAGCAAGTTGTGGTCCAGGCTCCAGATTACCCTTCTAGATGACCTTGAATTTCCTAGAGAAAAGAACTCTCTGAGTGCCTACTTCCTATCTGGGATAGATACACTCACAGAGATACACTCTGAACACAGGGAGCCTTGGTTCCTGCAACAGCAGTGGGCAATGTTCTGTCCAGCTGCTGGATGAATTTCACGCTGGGTAATTTTACAAGACAATGTGCCTTCGAGGTACTTTGCAGCTGCCTCTGAATGACCCAGTGTGTGAGCTGTGCACAGATCACTGTGTTTTGTGAACCACACGCACCATCCATACCAACCTTCCACTCCCCGGACGAATCACCCAAGCATCTTTCCGGAAAAAAACAGAACAAAAACAAATCTCTGGAAGTTACTATGCTTTAAAAAAGCCATCTTAAGGAACTTCTTTCTACAACATAGATGTTGCACAGAAGGAAAAATAGCACCCCATTTCCTCCTAACTTTCCTTTGATGAGTATCTCCAGTCAGTTGGTATTTCTCAGATGCCAGCAGCTATAACCACACGCTCTCTGTGCTTTTCTTTGTGAGAATGAAGTCAGTGAAGTTACCCACCCTGGCAAAGAGGTCGTTTCCGAGAAGTGTTTGCAGAAGGACAGGCAGCTGCTTTTCCAGATGAAGCTTCAGGCAGAGTTGGGTCAGCTCCTCCCGGTCCAAGAAGCCTGTCCCCGTGGTGTCACAGCTGCTGTAGACATCCCTGAGCTGCGAGACATAGTGGCTGTCTTCCTCTTCGTCCATCCCATCGCAGGCTGTGTGCAGGGAGAAAACAACGGTGCCCTCTGACTGCCGTCCCACCTCCCTCCACGGTCCCGATGCACCAGGCAGTGTGGCCCAGGGCAGGGGAGGAGCTGACGTGTGGGAAGGGGCACCAGGGTCATCTCAGGACACGTGAGGCTGGAGGAAATCAGGAGAGGCCACAAACGTGTTCCCATGGGGCTTGTTCTCCCTCACTGGCTCAAAGAACCAGAATTACTTTGTTCTGTAAAAATGTATCTATTACAGAATAATCAGAAAAAAAGAGATAAGTAAAGAGAAAGAAAATCATCCAAAATTTCACCACCTGGAAAAAAATCATTTTAATATTTTGGCAAATATACATTCTACTTTTTCTCTATACATATACACACAGGGCCTGCTGGATGCCTGGCACACTTGCACGAACTTCTGCCCCAGGATTCTGGTCTTGGGCAGAACTCAGGCTGGAGGTCAGAGGGCACCGAGGGCCCTCCCAGGAGCAATGACAAGCCATCCCCCTCCTGAGAGAACTTGCTGGTCTGCCGCCTCCCCCCGACCCCTGCCTCCATGCAAAGGCTGATTCAGGGGCGAGGACCCTGCACACTCAGCCCACATCCCCTCAGTCATGCCAGCTTTGCCCAACACACAGGTCAGTTCCTGACCACTCAGAAACACTTCTTTTCCTCTCCTTTCCCTCATCCCCAGAAATCTGAGACACTGTCCCAAGACAGCAGGTGATTCGACTCTGGCCATCCAGGCACAGGCTAGTGGTGTGACTCAGGCCCAGCATTCTACGGGTCAGGCAAAAAGATCTTTCAGCCGCCATTTGCTATGACACTTCCTAACCCCCATCCAAGATAAGGTCCATGCTTTGCTTTCAAAGTCCTGGGAAAAACACTGGGAGAAAGGAGGCACTGCTTCTGGTCATGTGTGCCCTATGGAATTCGCCCTCCTCTCGCCCCAGGATTGGTGGGGGTGGGGGGTCTTTCTGTAGCTGAGATACCACATGACAAACCTCAGTGCTGAGATGGGCCAAGAAGGCTTGGAAAAACTCCAAGGACACCTTCATCTGGGAAATATAGTCCGGGCTCAGGTCTGTACCACGACCACCTCATTGGAGTCACACTGATGCACGTGGATTCCCCGGGACTCCAGAGTCCCAGAAAAGGGCTCAAGTGACAAGTCACTGGATACTCTAAACACCTTGGAACTATGGAAGGTCTCAGGGGCCATGTAGAAGTCTGAGTGGGGCTCAGAATCCTGCTGTTCACACACCCCCATTCGCTGGAAGCTGAAGGCATTGATTTGGAGGGGGATACATGTGGGAGGGGAGAGGGGAGTAACCCAAGACACGCACGCAAGCACACACAGAGAGAGAGAGCGAGAGAAACTAATATCTCCAGAGAGATGAAGGAAAAACATTAAAATCATGCAACAAGATAGACTACTGGACAATAGGGATGATTAGACACCAAGGGAGGTTTCCTGACATTGACATATGATAATCACAATAAAAAATGCAATGGCAACACTGGAAGATAAGGACAAAATACATCTTCTATTAAGTGTACCCAAATAAAGAGACAAGAAATGAGACAGAGAAGAAAAGGAAATTAAAAATCAATAAAGTAACCAAAAAACATAAAGATAGACATAGACCAATAGAACACACTTGAGAGCCCAGAAATAAACCCTTGCATGTGTGGTCAAATGATTTTCCAAATGGCCAAGACCACACAATGAGGAAAAGACAATCTCTTCAATAAACGGTGCTGGGAAAACTGGATATCCACATGCAAAAGAATGAAATTCAACCCTTACTTTACACCATAATCAAAAATGAACTCACAATCGATTCAAGATCTACACATAAGATCTAAACTATAAAATTCTTAAAAAAAAAAAAGAGGAAAAGTTTCATGATGTTAGATTTGGCAACGATTTCTTAGATATGACACCAGAAGCATAGGCAACAAAAGTAAAAATAGACAAATGGTACTATATCAAACTTAAGAATCTGCACATCAAAGAAAACAATCAGCAGTGTAAAAAGGCAACCTACATACAGAATGGGAGAAAATAATTTGCAAATCATACATCTGATAAGAGGTTAATGATCAGAACAAGTAAAGAACTCCTATAACTCAACAACAAAAACCAGTAACCCGATTAAAAAAATGGGCAAAGGACTTGAACAGACAATTCTCCAAAGAAGATACACAAATGGCCACCAAACGGCCAAGCACATGAAAAGTGCTCAACATCTCTAATTAGGTACACACAAAACAAAACCACAGTGAGATATTATCTCGCACCCATTAGGATGGCCACTATAAAGAAAAAACAAGCAAACAAAAAACAGAAAACAAGTGTTGGTGACGATGTTGAGAAATTGGAGCCCTTAGGCACTCTTGGTAGGAATGTAAAATGGTGTAGCTGCTGTGGAAAACAGTATGGAGGTTCCTCAAAAACCTAAAAATAGAATTACCATATGATCCAGCAAATTCCACTTCCAGGCATACACCCCAGAGAACTGAAAGCAGGATCTCAGAGTTATCTGCACTCCTATGTTCCCTGCAACATTACTCACAACAGCCAAGAGTTGGAAGCAACCCAAACGTCCATTGACAAAAGAACGGATAAAGAAAATATCAATAAAATGGAATATTATTCAGCCTTAAAAGGAAGGAAATCCTGTCACCTCCCACAACATGGATGAACCTTATGTTGAGTGGAATATGCCAGTCACAAAACGACAAATACTGTATGACTTCACTTCCATGAGACAACTAGTCAAAATCAAGGAGACAAAGTAGAGTGGTGGGTGCCAGGGGCTTGGGTAGGGGGATAGGAAGGGTTGCTCAGCAGGTACAGAGTTTCAGTTTTGCAAGATGAAAAAGTCCTAGAGATCTGTTACACAGTAATGTGGATACCAGTTAACACTACTGAACTGTATATTTAAAAATGATGAAGAGGGTAAATTTTTTTTAATTTTATTTTATTATTTATTTATTTATTTTATTTTATTTTATTTTTGGCTGTGTTGGGTCTCAGCTGCGGCATGCAGGATCTTCATTGAGGCATGCGGGATATTAGTTCCCTGACCAAGGATCAAACCCACGTCCCCTGCATTGGAAGGCGGATTCTTTCCCACTGGACCACCAGGGAAGTCCCAAGAGGGTAAATTTTATATCATCGTGTTTTTTCACAATTAAAAATTTTAAAATAAGAAAAAACTTTTTTTTAAGGAAAAAAAGTTCAATATTTGGTGGCTTGCTTTCTGAAATTGCCTGGTTATGTTCTGTGGCACTTTTACCTGGATTTTCTTTCCTTAAAAAAAAAATTCAAAATCAACACCCAAAGTTCAGGCATTCTCTAAAAGCCCAGGAAAGGCAACCAGCTGATGGGAAGGGGGTGGTTCTGGAAAAATACAAGACTTTTCCAAGCAGAGAGACGGCAGAGTCCCACTGTGAAGGCCAACAAATAAAAACATCCAGACCGAGTAAATCCTCAAGAAACTTCAGAAGAAACAAACAAGTCCTAAAAATGTCTAGAGAGAAAAGAGCATTCTGCACTCAGAGCCAGGCGCGACTCCTGCAGCAAGAATGGGATTGGAGGCTGAAAGACATCCTGAGGAAAGTACACTTTCCACCAAGCTGGAAGCTAGCGGACGGGTACTTCAGCCAAGAAGGAGGAAGACGCACGTTGTAGATATGGGTCCCCTGCAAGCAGTGGACACCGTTCTGGGAGGGTGGCCTGGGGCAGGGCCACAGTGCTATCCACACAAACTGGCCACTAGGGACCCTACGGTCCTGTATCGTGGGACCACGAGGAAAACAACATGGGTGGTTTCTTCTTTTTTTTTTTTTTTTTTTTGTGGTACGCGGGCCTCTCACTGTTGTGGCCTCTCCCACTGCGGAGCACAGGCTCCGGACGCGCAGGCCCAGCGGTCATGGCTCATGGGCCCAGCCGCTCCGCGGCATGTGGGATCTTCCCGGACCGGGGCACGAACCCGTGTCCCCTGCATCGGCAGGCGGACTCTCAACCACTGCGCCACCAGGGAAGCCCTCTTCTTCTTTTAAAAAAACTATTTATTTCTTTACTTATTTGGCTCCGCCAGGTCTTCGTTGTGGCATGTGAGATCTTCGTTGCTGCATGAGGGATCTTTAGTTGCGGCGTGCAGGCTCTTTTAGTTGCAGCGGGATCTAGTTCCCTGACCAGGGATCAAACCTGTGCCCCCTGAATTGGGAGCGCAGAGTCTTAACCACTGGACCACCAGGGAAGTCCCCAACATGGGTGGTTTCTGACAGAGCTGATGGACCATTTGGAAAAGAATAAGGATGTTAAAAAGTAATTATGGAAAAACCAAGAAAGCCTCCATAAAACCAAGCTGGGCACAAGAATGGAACTGTAACTGCACTCCAGATAGCATCCCTGTGGTAGGTGGGCAGCGCATCTTCCGTGGGGGGTGGGAGAGACAGGGAAGCCTCGAGGTGAGGGCGATCCGAGGTACCAGCCTGCCTGCTTATGGCCCAGGGGATGTTTCTCAGGCCTCCATAAAGCAGCTCCAGACAGGAGTCCAACAGCATTTAGCACCTCCACGGCTACTGTGTGCCCTCCTCACCTTGGGAACTGGCTCCACCTCCCACCGGCCCCCCACAGTGAGACCCTAAAGCCAGCACAGAGCCCGAGTTGAGAGACTCGCCCTGGTCAGCAGTTGGGGTTGCTGACTTCAGCTCTGGCCCATCCAAACCCTCTCTACTGGGAGCACTGCGTCATCAACCAAAATGGGAGTGAAGGCCAGGGAGGGGACAGTGCCGCCTCCCAGATGGTCTGCTCAGTGGGATGATCCCGCTAAGCAAGGGACCACTGTGTCCTCACTTGGGCTCCTCCTCAAAAGAAGACACTAACCCTTGTGCAGCACCCCCACCCCACCCCACCCTGCGTCTGCTCTTGCCTTGGGTTCTGAAGGCCTCCCACCAGCAGGCCTCCCTCCTCGGCCCGTCCACCTGCCGCTGGTCCACCGGGTGGGCATGGGGTGGGCAGGGATGGGGGCCCAGCAGGCACCACGTCTCAGACACAGCAGGAGGTGACAGAGGATGCTCTCAGGACACGCAGCTGCACAACCCTCCACACCGGTTTGCAAAGTTGGCTCTTGGTGTCCGGTGGGTACTTAAGACAAGTTCTCAAACCGACACTGAAATGGACTGGATTGAGGTCAACTCCCTTCAGGTCCCAGGATCTGACCCCCTAAGCCTCCAGGCACCAGATCTCCCCTTAAACCCTGCTGTCTGCACGTTAGTGGCATCACTGCAGGGTGGGGAACCCAGAGGCCACCTTCCTGCTGCCGAGGTCAAAGGAGACCGGCCAAGGGCTCCCTGAGAACATTTTAAAGCATCAGAATCTTCCTGAACTGTGCAAAGGCCACCCTAAAAGACGCCAGACATGGCAACGCTGCCTTCACAGCTGAGATGACCCATCCCCTATCCCCATGCCTCTCTTCAAGGCTGCAGGGCCTCGGCCAGGCTCAGCTCTGGGCCAGTCAGAGCTTCTGTCAAACTGGGTCTAAAACACCACCTTTGCTGGGCTGCTGAGGGGAGGAGCAGGTTCCAGGCCCTGGTACTCATCACACCACGAAGGACAGCAGAATCACCATCCCGCACACCGGTCCCCAGGCTCCCAGCCTTCCTGCTGCTCAAATCCTATTTCCAGAAACGTGTCACTGGGAAACCCCCCTCCCTCCCGACTGGGAAACGTGACCAACCTAAACCACAGAACACAACAGTGAGAAGGACAAGGACCTTTACCCTCTGCCCCTCCCAGCAGGGAAACTGTAGCTCTGTTCAGACTCCCTGAGGCCTGTGTGTGAGGGCAGAGAACGCCGTCCCCTAGACGACCCCTAGGTTCTGTTCCTTGCACAGAACCCCGGGAAGGAGAAGAGAAACAGGGGACCTCTCAGGCGGGACCCCGCCTCCTGCACCACCCATCCTCGGCGCCCAGGCCTACTCACACGCGAAGTGCAGGCCTCACAGCCAAGTGGTCGTTATAAATAATAAACACCCAAGGGCCTCTTCAGTTTCTTCTTCACCCAAACTGAATTATTTAATCCTCTCTGGATTCTACAAATGCATAAATGTCCACACATCGAAACCACCAGAAAACCCAGCTGCGTTCAGTGCTGACTGCAGACAGGGGACAATGTTCCAAGTAAAGAGGAGCCCTTGGCTTATTACGGTTTGATCCTTTTGAAACTGGAATCAGTAGACTCTCAATAATTCTAATGCTATAAAGCTTAATTAAGTATATGAGCATAAACTTTGCTACCAGGTGAAGCAAAACACTGTTTTCATCCTGGGGAGAAAAACCTGCCCTCAAACAAACTGGGTACGGGCCAAGAAACAGCTGCCGACCAGCACCCTGCAGGACCACGCAGCCCTCTGGAGGGAAGGTGTAGGTTTGCATTTAACTGATGCACAGAGATGAGGGAATTTAATCTGTGGCCCTGGAAACCCGCTGGGTATCAAGGACAGGGAACCACAGAGAACTGTGGTCTCTCACAAGCAGCTGGGTGTGCCGATGTCTGTGGACCCAGAGCATCGCACCCAGAAACAACTCCAAACAAGGCCCTCCATAAAAACCCGTAAAAGCCTGCTGACCCAGAATGAACAGCACCAAGGTAGCCTTCTAGATGGCGCGTTCTGTATCTGGAAAGATGTTACGACCCAGATAAAACACTGAAGCCCCGCCTTGGGTTCCAGAAGAGCAGGTCTTGGCACCATGTCAAATAGCCTTGGTGTTTGTAATCAACCTGCATCTTCAGCAGTTCTGAGCTTGTAGGATTAATTTCTGCATTAACTGTTTTCACGTCTTCTTTCTTATTTTTCAAAACTTATACTATTTATTGGGCTTCCCTGGTGGCGCAGTGGTTGAGAGTCTGCCTGCTGATACAGGGGACACGGGTTCGTGCCTGGGTCCGGGAAGATCCCACATGCCGCGGAGCGGCTGGGCCCGTGAGCCATGGCCGCTGAGCCTGCACGTCCGGAGCCTATGCTCCGCAACGGGAGAGGCCACAACAGTGAGACGCTCGCGTACAGCAAAAAACAAAAAAACAAAAAAACCAAAAAAACTTATACTATTTATTTACTTTGCCGACATCGGCCCTAACTATCTCAGCAATAAGGCTTGAGAAGCTATCATTTTTATCAAAGGGATTTTCCAATCCCAACAATATAAAAATAAGCTGATGCGTCATTTAATTGGCAATTAATATAGTATTTGCTCTTCCTACAAAGTAGATATTTAGACTAAAAACTATAAGGATATCAAACTCTAAAATTGTCCTAGAAAACCTGCTTTCTAGGGTCTCCTCAAGAAAACATTGTGGGACCCACTCACCTAACATAAAAACTTTGTACCCTTTGGCCAATATCTTCTTGGTTCCTAAAGATTTTTGTTTTGTTTTGTTTTGCGGTATGTGGGCCTCTCACTGTTGCGGCCTCTCCCGTTGCGGAGCACAGGCTCTGGACGCGCAGGCTCAGCGGCCGTGGCTCACGGGCCCAGCCGCCCCGCGGCATGTGGGATCCTCCTGGACCGGGGCACGAACCTGTGTCCCCTGCATCGGCAGGCGGACTCTCAACCACTGCGCTACCAGGGAAGCCCCTAAAGATTTTTATAACCACATGTACTTATATTTGTGCTAGGACTATAGCTATAGACCCAATGGTTATAAAATATCTACATAACTGTAGTTATACATATTATACATAAATAATTAGTTATACATATACACGGCTATCCACATAAGGTTCTACATACAAAAAAATGAGCTTTCTCTATATGTATCATTACATATATGCAAATGTAGAAAACCTACTCTCAGTATCAATATCAACCTCTAACTTAAATTCAACTAGAAAATTCTACCATAAAGAAAGCAATAGTTTCTCTTCTTTACTAAAAATAGCCAATAACAGTGTAGAAGAAATGAGAGAACTGGAAAATTACAATTTTGAATCCCCATTGTAATAGTTGATAGGGTAAGGATAATTAATGTATGATTAAAAACAGTGGAGAGGGAAAAAAAAACAGTGGGGAGGGAATTCCCTGTGGTTAGGACTCTGTGCTTTCACTGCCGAGGGCCTGGGTTCAATTCCCTAGTCAGGGAACTAAGATTCCCACAAGCCACACGGTGCAGCCTAAAAAATAAATAAATAAAAATAAAAATAAAAACACTGGGGAGAGGTGACATCATGCAAAGTGGCAGGGGAAAACACTCCACCAAAGCAAAACTGAGCCGTAAAGAGTGACTGGAAGGAACTATATTGAAACTCTGGAACCAGATCAGACACTTAGAGCAAGGTGATGAAAACAGGCTGCTGATGTAAACAGGCTGCTGACGTTTGTAAGAGAGCAGCGATCAGAACCCCAAAGAGTGCCATTCAATCACCCATTTCACAGATGAGGACCTGATATCCTATAAGTAAGCACAGAGGTGGATTTCCTCAGTCAGCTGAAGAATGTGGACGGAGCATACAAGGGCACAGGCAGAGTGCAAAGGGAACGTTTTCCTGCCATTCCAAGTGTGTGGTGCTTCCCTTAAGCTCCAGGTGAGACCTTCTCTCCATGTAAATGCCTGCTGATGCTTATAACTGTACACAGTCAGTGTATACAGCTCAGTGACCAAGGAGCATCCCCCATGGGTTCCCTGCTGTCCTCTTCTCCTGTCTTAGACTCTGATGGCTTTCAAGAAGTACCAAATGGGTAAAACCAGGAGGCTGGAGCTGCTCACACTGACTGTTCACAGCTCCATCCAATTCTGTCTCAATGGCATTATGTTGGTAGCTTAAAATCTGCTGTGGTGGGACTATTTACACACAATCGTTGGAAAATGCTACAGTTCAGGGCTTTGGGGGGCAGTTGTGAAAGCTTTATCAGTATACTACACCACGGCTAAAATATAAAAGACTGATCATATCAAGTACTGGTAGAGACATGGAGCAACTGGAACTCTCAGATCTTGTTAGTGGGGGTATCAATGGTACAAGAGCTCTAAAAACCTGCTCAGTTTTATCTACCAAAGTTAAATACATATCCACTCTACAACATAGCAATCCAACTCCTAGGTACCTACTCAACAGAAACCATGGATTTGTGTACCGAAAGACACACTTTCTTAGGCAGCATTATTCATAGCACCCCAAACTAGAAGCAATCCAACTATCCATCAGTAGTAAAAATAAGTAATTGGTGGTATATTCTGGGAAACTGTAAAGCTATGGAGAGGAATGAACTACATAATGACAACCTCAATTTTACAAACATGATGGAAGAAGATATTGCATGATTCCACTTGCAGGAAAAATCAATCCATAGTGTTAGAAGTTAAGATAGTGGATGGCAGGGAGGGAATAATAAATAGAAGAACATATGAGGGGCTGTTCTGGGGTTCCTGAGATATTCTGCTTCTGACTAGGATGGCAGTTGCACGGGTGTGTTCACTGTGACAGTTCATCATTATCTGTGCACTTTTCTGTGTGTGTGTGTGTGTGTGTGTGTGTGTGTGTGTATTTACTTATTTATGCATGCATGCATGCCGTGCCTCCTGGCATATGGGATCTTACTTCCCTGACCAGGGATCTAACCTGTGCTCCCTGCAGCGGAGTCCTAACCACTGGACGGCAAGGGAAGCCCCTCTGTGCATTTTTTTTCCATACGTTACACTGCAACTTCAAACAGTGAAGAGAGAGAGTATTAGAAATGCTGACGGCACTTCCCTGGTGGTCCAGCAGGTAAGATTCCTCGCTCCCAATTGCAGGGGCCCGGGTTCGATTCTTGGTCAGGGAACTAGAGCTCACCTGCCACAACTAAGACCCGCCACAGCCAAATAAATAAATAAATATTTGAAAAAAACAAAACGCTGACCTTCCACACCCACCTCCTGGAACAGTGGCAGGTACGTGTTTTACGACAGACTCCTGTTGTTTTGTCACGGCTAGAAGACAGACGTTTTAGGAAAATAAAGCAAAACAAAGCAAACCTGCAAACTGTTTCCCCAAAGCCACTCCTGTTGCCCCTCCCCCGGATGATTTCTAAAACTGTATGAGTATTTTTTGTAAGACTCTTCATAAGACCTGGCAGCTCTGGCTCATTCACTCCACTGGTGTGATGGAACCAAAAACATGCAAAGCCATGGAGTCCATGCTGGGTAAACAGTCGCACATCATGTGGCCTAAACTGCTTCTAACAGATGCTACAAAGTCAGACACTCCCCAAGACAGGAAAAATAGGACACACTTGACAAATTGTCTAAAAGTGAATCATACTTTAGCTGTACTCTTCATGGAGCAATAAAAAGAATAAATAAAAAGAAATGAAAAGCGACTCTGACATACCCTAATTAAAGTCAACAAAATGCTATGGGCTTGTCCTTAAGAATCTTGGGGATATTAAAATAGCCTGCATGTAAGGAAGAGTGTATGGGGGACCATATCTCTCTTAGTCTGTTACGGCTACTATAACAAAATACCATAGATGGTAGTTTATAAACAATAGAAACTTATGGCTCACAGTTCTGTGGGCTGGAACTCCAAGATCAAGGCGCTAGCCTGGTCACGTTCTGGTGGGGCCCACTTCCTGAGTCTTACACTGGCACCTTCTTGCTGTGTCCTCACCTGGTGGAAGGGATGAGGGAACTCTGTGGGGCCTCCATATAAGGGCACTAATCTCATTCGTGGGGCTCCACCCTATTGACCTACCTCAGCACCTCCCAAAGACCCCACCTCCTGACACCAACCACCACCTTTGGGGGTTAAGATTCCACATAAGAACCTAGGGAACACACACACTCAGACCACAGGAGTATCTTCCAAGCTCAATTCCAGAACTTCCTAAACATTCCAAAGCTAACTTCTTCAGCCATCACCATATGTGAATTACACCATGCACTTTTATTTAAGGGAAAAGAAAGCTTACAAGGTAAAGTGGCTAGGATATTATTATGAACCAAATGTTTGTGTCCCCTGAAATTCATATGTTGAAGCCCTAACCCCTCAGTGTGGCTGTATTTGGAGATGGGGCCTCTAA